CCCCCCACCCAAACCTCAGTCCCTCCACGAGCAGAGTACTAAACGTCGCCTGCTTGGCCACCTCTCTCCCCCTTTGTATACCTATCGGTTTTTGCCTCATCGCGTCCGAGTTTGCCTCATTCAAGAAAGGTGAAATTATTAAAGATATAAACACTAAGAAGCCATCAGATCAGGCTTTTTATGTTGGTTTTAAAAATTGTACATTATTGAACGGTAATTAGATGACACAATATGATCTGAATCACAACTTTTACTCCGTACATGTTTGCTGAGTATAATCCTGCACGACTTTTCAGGAAGAGTCGTGACTCATATTTAGGCCGTTTGGATATACTAATTACTCCAAATAGATAATGTCAAATTCATCAGAGATCAAACTTGAAGAAAACTGCAAGATTGCATTTAGTGTCCTATCTAAAGCATGATAGTAGGCCCTACTACCATGTCTAAAGCGTGCATTTTAGGCACCAGCCTATGCGCAAATTTATGTGCTTTTAGGATGTGACACATTTTTTTACGTAAAGCATACGTATAGGCCATGGCTTTTACTGTCATGGCTGTGTGTATATTTCTGTATTTCAGAGGAACTGATCGGGATCTGACTCAGGATCAGAGAAGACCAGAAAAGACCAATATGCAATATCTGTATACACTGTTACCTGTTTTCTATTATAGAAACCACGGGGCGCCACTTTTAGCGGCAACTTTGTAGGGTTGGTCTGATAGCCATGTTGTGTGTGATCCCCAATCCGGATGGCCAATAACCAGTCGACCAACCGATGCCGGCCGCTCCGTCCTGGGCCAACACAACGGCTAAGCTCAGCCCGCCGCGCCCACGCCCGCGTGACGTACGATACAGCTCATTTTGTTTATCTTTGCCCCCAGTTAACACAAATGACGGGGCATTACCCCCCGCCCCCCCCCCCTTCCCCGCCGTGCAGCGAAACATTTGAGGCGCCGCGTTGGGCGATAACACGACGACGATATTCGCTTTGCCGTAATCACTTTAATGGAGGTATTAAAACAATGCAGCTATGACGGCTGCTTTTTAAAAGCCGGTCAGCACACCGATCGATATACACACGGGCCAGACAGGGCGAGGTGGGGGGGGGGGGGGCACCACACTGCAGGAGAGAAAGATCGACGAGCGAAGCGCTACAGTTGGTCACCTATTTGCCTGAGTGGGTGCCGTTAGTGTGTCTGTCTTTTGCATTAGAATGTATATGTCTGGTCGATCCCGAATCATCTACCCAACTACACTTTTTTGTCGTGTGGTTTGAGGGTATGTTTCGAGCTTGGATTGTAGGGTTGATGAAGTCAAAACTGCACATAAGATTCACACCATTTACTTCAGATTCACCATTAACTTCACAATGGATGCAGGTCCATCCATCAGAGAATTTAGAAATCTGCAATACAGGTTAACTTAGTATTAAAGTATATATCGTACTGTACACATCACAGAGGAGTTGGTTGAGATGCCTAGATAGGATCGAGGAAAATACAAATATGCTTAGAAATTAGGTCGTATCAATTTTTTGTAACTTGAACCGTGCCGTCAACTTACCACCAAATTATAACAAGATATCATTCCAGTTCAAATAAGAAATAACAAGGAGCAGTTTTGTTTTAACATTATGTTGTGCTGTGGTAGAAGAAGAGGAATTTTTAACTGACTATTGATTTAAAAGGTTTTGGCTATACATACTCCAGGAAATTGGAATAAAAATCACTGTCTTTCACATTTGACTGTCCTCAGACACATCTCTTACTAAATGGTAACATAAATATAGACATTAACCAGTACAACAGATATTACAAATATATATCGACAGTTATTAAACAACGAACCTTTTTTTGTACTTTCCACCTTTACGCGATGCTAAGAAGATCATTTTACTATGAAGGGATTTTCTTGAAATTACATTACAAGTTCTGATAGTTGTTGGTTCATAACTATTTTTTTACATGAACTGCATCATCGAATATCGCTCACGTTCTGCTACTAATGGCACATAAATAACTGGGTGGGTGTATCACAATTACCACAGATGGGTACGATTTTTCCGATAAATCTTACTCGTCCTATATTACACATAGGACATCTGCAACGTTATGCCGAAGCAAAACAAACATGTAACAAAAGACATGAAATGTTAAACATCATACATTAAATATAATAAGCATTGATTTGCTTCCTGAAAAAGTGACTAGTTATGTGTTGTAAACAACTTAATTGATAAGGAATATGCCCTGGTTTTTTGTCCTGAGGCATAACACAGTTCAATGTTTTATTTTGAAACATTTTCAATTAATGTGTGACAAATAGGACGAAACATTACGCAGCACATGCCAATTCCAGAATCAAAATTAAAACGAACAATTTTCGAAAAGCCACAATACACGTCTTTTAAAAATTCTAAACGTTTTCATTTATTTGTTAGCTCAGCTCTTACACGCTACGATGACAAACTTCCGAGTTGGGTTTTCACAGTCTTCAAACCGTCTTTTACAAAACCCAGACGGAAAAATAAATATTGCGCTTATTACCAAAATATGGATACCCGGTCGTGTGTTTGTCACACCATCTGCAGCCCCTTGGTCAGCGACTCCACGTGCTCTTTGGCCTTGAGCCGGAGCGCAGCTATCGAAGACGACCTGGGATCCGGGCCTCCCTGGTTGGGCACCGAGGATAGGCTCGAAGGTGGAGGGCCAGCTGCAGACGGCGGTGGCGAGAGAGGCGAGCCCACCGAGGACCCTGACGAGCTGGTGGGGTCCTGGTGCACGACGGGTGGAGTGAGGTACGACGGGTAGCCGGACTGAGGGTGGCTCAGGAAGCCCGGGAGCGCGTTGAGCAGCGGCGAGGACAGCCAGGGGTCGACGGGCAGGGCGAGCGACGAGCCGCCCACGCGCCCCACCGAGTGGTAGTCGCTGAGGCCCAGCCGCGCAGCCTCCATCTTCTCCTGCCTCCGCCACTTGGCGCGCCGGTTCTGGAACCACACCTGGAACACGACAAGACACGCGTTGAAAGAGACGTTCCAGTCAACCCAACCCTTCTAGCACTCGCCGACATTGCCCCTATAAACGCAATTTGACAGAAACGGTCAAAGATGCTGCTTGGGCTTGACACATTGCAAGTTGCTGCTATCGCCAGGGGGTAGTTGCTGTTTCTTTTACGTGTAGGGATTTCGGTCTCACACGTAAAAGAAATGAAGTAGCCGAAATAGATAGTGCATCCGGTAATTTGACCCTGACTTGCTTGGCACACTGCTAGCTAAGAGAGCCTTCTTCACAACTACTTCCGCTTTCACAAGTGTTACATCGAATATATTAGCTTTCTTCGGTGAAACTTAGCCAGGCAAGATTATATCCTGACCTGAGCAAAAATGGCCAAATAAGCAAATGCATTAGCTAGCTTATGATATTATAAAAAGCCTGTTCATAGTGCCTGCCTCTACGGCTACCCTCCTGGCTACGCCCTCGGCTGCACACCTGACTACGCCCCTGAGCGGCGCACGACCACTCCAGGGCCGTGCTGGCCGCTCCTGGTCCTGCCAGACTGATGGACGGTAAAACACCGGATGAATGAGGAATGAGTGCACCCCGGTATACTGTTTGTCCGCCTGAGTGCTCTGAGGCCACGACCGAAAACGCTACCGTAATTTTCTCCCACCCAGTCTTCTCTCTTTCTCTCTCCCTTTCTAAAAACTACCATCACCCTGAGAAAATGAGAGAGAGGGAACAGGGGGGGGGGGAGCACGAGCCGTTGTGCTGCAATCCCCTGGGTGCGCACGAGGCCAGTGGAGGCCAGTGGAAAAACAAAAACAGTGACGTGCAACGTAATGACACTAACACGGTCCGAAAACCACTAGACAACGCTCTTCCCGCAGCATCAATTATGTCAAATAATGGTGACGCCGGGAACGCGATAACAAGGAGCTTTGAGATAAGAAGTGATAAAAATAAGAGATTGAGCGACATCGATTTTTTTTCCTTCGAGTCCTGCCTCTCCCCAGCACTAGTGACACTCTGTGTGACAGGATAGTAACCCCCCCCCCCTCTCTCTCTTTTTGTA